CAAAAATGACGGGGAATGAGAATTTTATTCTTACTTTTATGATATTGTTACCTCTTATTTGAAAATAATATCCAATTATTATTCTTTTAACCCCCCCCCCCCCCTGGCCAGGTTTAATCCATTAAAACTAAGTGTAAATACTATGGTTTGGTAAAATTAAATTTAAAGCTTTTACTTGATAATACCAATATTATTTGATAAATATTACTGATCATTTATACCCAATATTTAATATTAAAAAAATTCCCAGGCAAAGTACAAAGCCATAATAATTTTGAAAAATTCTTCCAAGCCCAGTGATTATAATAATTTTGGTAGTTGAGAACTGAAATAAAATATTTAAATAATCATAATGTTAAAAATATAATCAAAATCAGATTTTCATGGGCCTAGGTTTTTTGATCAGGCCGAGCCCAAGCCTGCATAAAAATTTTTTTAGGCCAATGTCTGACTTATAGTTAATAATAAAAAAATTCTCAAGCATTCTAGCTCATAATATTTTTGAAAAATTTTCCCCAAGCCCAGCCTAATATAATTTATAAAAATATCTTTCACCTGGCCAACCCATAGTAATTTTCAAAATTTTTTCCCAATCCGGGAGATAGGTAAATCTCTAAAAACCATATCTATTTTTTATTCTATTTTAAACCAGGCCAACCCATTAAGACTGAGAATGAATACTATTTTTATAAAAATATATTTAAATTAGCTTTTACATGAGGGACATATAAATATTCTGTGTTAAATATTACACCATGCCTAATATTAAAAAAAATTCACAAGCCAGGTCCACGCACTTGGGGAAATTTTCTCAAAAAGACCATAGTAATTTTGATAGTTGAGAACTGAAATAAAGTATATAAAAACTCACAATGCATTTAAAAATACAATCAGAATATGAAAGTTGCATGGGCCTTGGTATTTGATCAGACCTGGCCATGTCTCGAAAAGAAATTAAAAAATTTGCAGGAATCTAAAACTATATTAATTTTAAAAAATGTTTCCCAAGCTACTTCCAAGTCCATATTAATTGTGAAAAATATTTCCCAAACCCAGGAAAACCCAGAATTCTATTTTATCCTTGGATCCAGAAAAATAGGTGTGATGTAGGGGTTTATAAGAATTAAATCTGTATAATATGTATATATTTTTTTTGCCTGTCGTGATTATGTAGATAGTTAGACAATATTATTATATTTGTGCAAATATTTCTTGTTATGAGTTCGTTTAATTATATTAAAATACTTATCGATATATTCAAATTTTTCTTATTATAAGTACGTTTAATTATATTATAATATTTGTCGATATATTCAAATTTTATTTTGGGTAATTTTCATGTTTAACGGTAGATTATATTTATGATAAACAGAAAAAAGCAAATTGAAAATAGATTTGAATATTTAGTCTTTTTTAGTTTATAAATTGTTTAAATATATTTTTGAATAGCGATAACTGTAAATAATTTAATTTATGAGTTTAAAAACTCTAATTTTTTACCATTCGAGATTATTAAATTTTTTATTATAATTTTTTCTAAATTTTATATTTTATTCATTATCGAAATAAAATCGTCAAGTTCCACTATAATAAGAATTCTAAGTGAGAGATTTAATTAACATCGATAATAAATTAATCAACTTTCTATACACAACTTCAACTCAAGCTTGCACTCACTTGCAACAATTGGTGCCGAAGAAAAAAATCGAACCCTGTACCTTAGATTTTCAGTCTAATAATTAAACCATTACATAATATTTCGGGGAACTAAAGCGTTAAGAAAATTCAATCTAATTTATACCAGGATATTTAAGGTAAAAAAAATTATATTCATGATAAATTTTTTTTACCTTTTAATTATAATATTAATAATTGTTTTATATTTAATTAATTTTGGTAGGATTTTTAAATTATTTTTAATTAGATTTTTATTAAGCACGTTATAATGTATATTAATCAGATGAATATTTGGAATTTATTTTTAGAAAATATAATTTTAATAGTTTTTGTGGTTATGATTTTAGTTTTTACATTAGGTTTAATCATAGGGAGAAGTACAGCTTATATTAAGATAGAGAATATAGAATTAGAAAAGGTTAAGAATATATTGAGAGATGTAGAGAAGAAGATAAATATAGATAATTACAGACGGACAGATAATTATAGACAAATAATTTGTTTTAGTTGTGGCCAGCCGGGTCACATGTCGCGACAATGTGATTTAACGAAAGATTTAAAGTGCGCAAAATGTGGCAAGAATGGCCATGTAGCTATTAAATGCAGATTAGACAATTTGATATTATGATGTATTACTTGTGGTCAAGATGGACACACACAAGAGAGATGTAAGAAATGACTAGTGGAAGGAAATGTTAATTTTAATGATAATTTTAATAATAATTTGAATGATAATTTGAATGATAATTTTTAATGATAATTTTAATGATAATTTTAATGATAATTTTGGTGATAATAATTTTTTAATTTTGTTAATTATAAATCAGGTATTAAGAGAAGTAAAGATAAAATGAGAGACATAAAGATAGAGAGGAGAAATTTTGATATATATAAATCGAAAGATGCAACTTTGGTAGACGTATGAAAGGTTGAATTAGAGGATTTTTTAATGAAAAATAGATGCCCGAGAATAAAGATAAAGATTGAGGAAGCTGAAATATGTTTTTTATTAGATACAGGAGCAGAAATTAGTTTGATGAGTTTAAAGGATTTTAATAAATTTTTACCAGGAAAAGAATTTGTTATAAAAAAGATAAGAGCCAAACAATTAGATGATAGCGTAGTGAAAATTTTACGTTATTACAGGATAAGATTATCTGGAATTAATAGAGGTATAACTTTATGGATAACTACTTTGAATAGTGAGCCAATTTTAGGTTGGGGGGATATAAAAATATTAGATCCGGTCTTTATCGAAAATATCTTGAGAATGAATGATGAAAATAAGAAACGATAGAGAGTGATTTCGATAAACTTAAGTTGCCTAATATAGTAGATAAACAAGATGTAGTTCTCGATAAACTTAGAAATCGAACTCCAGAGTTTTTAATTGAATATAGAGACGAAGGGAATAATAGTTCTAGAGGTATAAATTCTATTGAGGCAACACCAGTTGAAATCTACAAGCAGAGAATTAAGAAGATAACAGAACAAGAAGAGATTGTTGAAGATAAATGCAGCCATGAAATAAGTATAATTTTAGATCAATACATGGAGGTTTTTAAAGAGGAGTTAGGTACGCTAAAAGATGTTGAAATAGATATAAGATTATTAAGAGACTACCAGCCTAAATTTTGTGGAGTAAGAAGATTACCGTTTTCTTGGATAGATGAGGTTGATAAGGAATTAAATAATTGGTTGAAGAAAGGTATAATACGACCCATGGTGCATAGCGACTGGGCGACACCGTTAGTCCCCATAAGAAAAGCAGATAATAGTTTAAGACTATGCATAGATTATAGAGTTTCGTTAAATCCATGGATTATCACAGTTAGTTATCCATTACCGAGGATAGAACAGTTATTAGCGAACCTGAGAGGAGCTACTTTTTTTTCGAAGATAGATTTCTCGATTGCATATTTACAGATTAAGGTGAATGAGAAAACAAGTAGATTGTTGACTATTACAACACAGAGGATTATTTGCTTTCTGTCGTTTACCGTTTGGATTGAAAGTATCAGCTGCGATATTTCAAAGAACGATGGCTTCTTTATTTCAAGGTTTAGATGGAATAATGTATTATTTAGATGATGTTTCAATATCAGGTAGAACCGAAGAAGAACATAATACTAGATTAGTTAAAGTATTAGATATAATATTAGAAAATGGCTTAAGAGCTAATATGAAGAAAAGCGTTTTTGGAGTACGAGGAATAAGGTATTTAGGTCATTTTATTAAAGGAAATGAAATTACTCCAATTTCGAAGAATATAGACAAGATAGTGAATATGAGAGCGCCAAATAATAAATCTGAATTACAGTCGTTTTTAGGGGCTACGAATTATTATCATCGTTTTATACAAGATTTTGCTGAAATTGCTACGCCATTATATAATGTATTGAAGAAAATAATAAGTTTGAATGGGGAACAGCCCAAAAAGAAAGTTTTGAAAGATTGAAGATAAAGATGGTAAGTAAACCTATACTAAATTGCTTCGATAAGAAATTAGATGTTGTTCTTGCAGTAGACGCTTCTAATTAAGGTATAGGAGGAATGTTATTACAAATAGTTGACAATATAGAAAAGCCTATCTTATTTGTGTCAAGACAATTTAGCAATACTGAGAAGAATTATTCAACAATAGTGAAGGAAGCATTAGCTGTCAAGTTTGGTTTGACCAAATGTAAAGAGTATTTGTTAGGCCGAAGATTTTTGTTTTATACTGATCACAAACCTTTAGTAGGGCTCTTTAAGAAAAACAATAAGGAGTTGATTATTTCACCAAGGCTACAGAAATGGCTTATATTGGTAGGGAATTTTGATTTTGAAATATGATTCAGAGCAGGTAAACAGAATTGTTTACCAGATATTTTATCGAGATTGTTTGATAAGGACTTTGAAGACAAAGACAAAGAGCCAATGATATATAGTTTAGAATATAGTGAAGCAGAGGAACTTAATAGTAATGTTATAAGATCCTTAAAGATAGATACAAGAGAAAGGCCGATAACTTTAGAGCTGGTATCTAAGATTTCTCAACAAGATGAAGAATTAACGAGAGTTAGAGCTTGTCTGAAGGGAGATAAAGAATGGAAAGATGAAGATCAGTCCTTTAAAAACATTAAGAGTGAACTGAATATAGAAGACAATTATTTAATGAGAGGATATCGCTTAGTGATACCAAGTAAGTTAAGAAGAGACCTTTTAACAGCGGTACATACAGAACATAGGTATAGAAAGAATGAAGAATAAAGCAAGAGAATACATTTGGTGGCCAAGAATGAATAAGGAAATAGTTATCTAAGAGCTGTGAAACATGTAATATGTGTGCTAATTTACCGGCAAAAAATAAGGAAGATAAATGGCCTGAGACAAATGTGCCATGTGAAAGAATACACGTAGATTTTTTAGAATTTGAAAGGAAAAATCACTTTATTATGGTAGATGCTGGTTCAAAATGGATAGATTGTCAACAGGTATTTGGCCTATCTACAAAAGTAGCGTTGAATAAGTTAAAAGATTTTGTAAGTAAATATGGATTAATGAAGACATTAGTATCTGATGGTGGTCCAGCGTTCAGAGGTAGAGCATTTGATAAGTTTTGTGATAGATGGAAGATTGAACATTTATTATCTCCACCACATTATTCAAGAAGTAATGGACAAGCTGAACGAATGGTAGCTATCGTTAAAAATTGGTTAAAAAAAGAAAGATATGGAGAGGGAAAATGGTGGTTATTGTTATTAGCATATAACAATACTAAGACTAGCAAGGGGACTTCTCCAGCAGAGATGTTTTTAGATAGAAAAACAAGAACTGAATTAGATTTTTTGAAAGAAAAAGAAAAGCCAAAAGATATTCCTTATTGTGAGAAATTTAAGGTTGGTAGCTTAGTTTGGATACTACTTTTTGATGGTCCAATTAAATGGGGGAAAGGTATAGTAAGAAGAAATATAGGAAGAAGAAAGGTAGAAGTAGAAATTGAAGGACAAGCCGAAGTATGTTTCAGACATATTAAACAGTTAAGACCTAGAGGGGTCAGTTATTAAACGTGGAAATTTTAAAATGGAAGATAAACATAATCGATTTGTTTGTGGTAACAAGTGACAATTATGAGAATCTTGATTTTAAATTTGATGATATACATAATTGAGTTGTTAAACAACTCTGGTAAAATTATGAGAATCATAACTGTGGAAATTTTAAAATTGTTGATAAACATAATCGATTTGTTGGTGGTAACAAGTGACAATTATGAGAATCTTGATTTTAAATGATGATCTGGTTAAATTATGAGAATCATAACTGTGGAAATTTTAAAATTGTTGATAAACATAATCGATTCGTTGGTGGTAACAAGTGATAATTATGAGAATCTTGATTTTAAATGTTGATGATATACATGATTGAGTTGTTGTTAAACAACTCTGGTTACTGTGGAAATTTTAAAATTGTTGATAAACATAATCGATTCGTTTGTGGTAACAAGTGACAATTATGAGAATCTTGATATATATTGTTATACATGTATAGTTAAATTCGTTTATAGATGGCGTCGTATTTTAGAATTGGGAATAAGATCCTTAAAATAGAAATTAGAGAAATAGACGGGACGGTGGAATCCAGAAGATGGTTAGACGCGGCTAGGGAAGAAGCTCAGAATCGTTACGGTGAGATGTTGCAAGAACTAACAAGAGTAACAGAGAGACGATGGGTGCCCGAAGGTTCCAAGAAAAGGAAGACCGATTGTTGGTCATGCGGAGGCAATCACCTAATGCGAGTTTGCCCGTCATTATATGTAGCTAATGACAGTTCGGTAGTATCCCGGCCCATTCAAGAAGAGGTGATTAAAGGGAATTTAGCTGAAGAGTCAATAGAATAGGAAAGACAAATTTAAGGAGGAAGGTGTCGTGATTATGTTAGACAATATTATTTTATTTATGCAAATATTTCTTGTTATGAGTTCGTTTAATTATATTATAATACTTATCGATATATTCAAATTTTTCTTATTATAAGTACGTTTAATTATATTATAATATTTGTCGATATATTCAAATTTTATTTTGGGTAATTTTCATGTTTAACGGTAGATTATATTTATGATAAACAGAAAAAAGCAAATTGAAAATAGATTTGAATATTTAGTCTTTTTTAGTTTATAAATTGTTTAAATATATTTTTGAATAGCGATAACTGTAAATAATTTAATTAATGAGTATAAAAACTCTAATTTTTTACCATTCGAGATTATTAAATTTTTTATTATAATTTTTTCTAAATTTTATATTTTATTGATTATCAAAATAAAATCGTCAAGTTCATTAATTCGTTTTCTTTTTATATTATATATATATTTATCCTAATTTATTTTAATATATTTTATTCTTTCTTTTATTTAGATTCAACTATAATAAGAATTCTAAGTGAGAGATCTAATTAACATCGATAATAAATTAATCAACTTTCTATACACAACTTCAACTCAAGCTTACACTCACTTGCAACATTGCCATTTATATTATTGAGAAAATTTTTCAAAATTAGGATCAAATGAAGGGGAAATATCTGATTTACCTATATCATTCTACTGGTTAGCTCCTGCCTGGTATTTATATGAAAATCATGAATACATATTAAAGTACCATGCTAAAAATATGTTCATTCTATTTTAAATTTTAAAAAAACCACCACCTTTCCAAATGATTTATTACTTAGTTACAAAATATAAGTTTAAATTTAAGACATTGTTAATTACAATAGAAAAAATAAAAAGATATTCTAAGTTAAGAAATAATAGGAGGTGAACTTTAATCATAGTCAAATTATATATAAGTTAAACAAAAAAGTTATACATTTAATCAAAAATGTTATAATAAGTTATGAAAAATATACATTCTACAATTAAATTATGAAGTTATGAGAAAATAAACAAAACTATGGAATGCATGTAGAAAGGACAATTTCAGAAAAGATAAGAGAGATGCAAATATTTACTTATGCATAAAAATTACCTAATTAAGAGTTATAAAGTTGTATAAAATTCAATGTGGAATGGATCCTTTTTAAGGGTTTTAACATAAAACTCTCAATCTGCAAGAATAAATTTTTAGATTTTAAAATACAAATGAATAAAAATTTATTTTAAAAGACTTTTTAATTGTACACATAAATTAAAATTACTAAATATATACTTTATTAACATATTTTATAAAAATAATGGAAAATTTTAGAATAACCCTAAATAAATATAAATTTTTAAATAACACCTCAAAGATAGGAAAATTTCTGATTACTGAAAGTCTTCATTCTTGGTCTTGTTGGGTATGACTTGGTCTGGGAGGGGGGGGGGTGTAAAAAATAATTTTTTTGATAGTATCAAATAAAAGGTAATTAAAATATTTTTTTATTGTAATAATAATAATCACTCATAGAGGGCGGGTCTAGGTCTTGGGGGATCAGGAATATTTTTATCAACACAAAATATCGATATGGGTATCAAATAAAAGATAATTTAAATATCTTTAGATTGAAAGTATTTATTTTTGTCTTCGTGGGTATGACTTGGTCTGGGAGATAGATGGAGGGGGGGGGGGGTGTAAAAATATATTTTTTTGATATGGGTATCAAATAAAAGGTAATTGAAATATTTTTTTTATAATTATAATAATCACTCATAGAGGGTGGGTCTAGGTCATGGGTCAGGAATATTTTTATCAACACAAAATATCGATATGGGTATCAAATAAAAGCTAATTTAAATATCTTTAGATTGAAAGTATTTATTTTTGTCTTAATGGGTATGACTTGGTCTGGGAGATAGATGGGGGTGGGGGGTGTAAAAAATATATTTTTTTGATATGGGTATCAAATAAAAGGTAATTAAAATATTTTTTATTGTAATATTAATCACTGATAGAGGGCGGGTCTAGGTTTGGGGGGTCAGGAATATTTTTATCAACACAAAATATCGATATGGGTATCAAATAAAAGTTAATTTAAATATCATTAAATTGAAAGTATTCATTTTTTGACTTGATGGGTATGACTTGGTCTGGGGAGTAGATAGAGATGGGGGGGATGTAAAAAATAATTTTTTTGATAGTATCAAATAAAAGGTTATTAAAATATTTTTTCATTGTAATAATAATAATCACTCATAGAGGGCGGGTCTAGGTCTTGGGGGATCAGGAATATTTTTATCAACACAAAATATCGATATGGGTATCAAATAAAAGATAATTTAAATATCTTTAGATTGAAAGTATTTATTTTTGTCTTCATGGGTATGACTTGGTCTGGGAGATAGGTGGAAGGGGGGGGGAGGGGGGGGTTACAAATTTTTTATTTTGATATGGGTATCAAATAAAAGGTAATTAAAATATTTTTTTATTGTAATAATAATCATTCATAGAGGGCGGGTCTAGGTTTGGGGGGGGGGGGTCAGGAATTTTTTTATCAAACAAAATATCAATATGGGTATCAAATAAAAGTTAATTTAAATATCATTAGATTGAAAGTATTCATTTTTTGTCTTGATGGGTATGACTTGGTCTGGGGAGTAGATGGGGGTGGGGGGGGGTGTAAAAAATATTTTTTTTTTATATGGGTATCAAATAAAAGGTAATTAAAATATTATTTCATTGTAATAATAATAATCCCTCATACCTGGCGGGAATTCTTGTGGGGGGGGGGAGGGGTCAGGAATATTTTTTGAACACAAAATATCGATAAGGGTATCAAATAAAAGCTAGTTTAAATATCTCTGTAATAATTATACTCTAAGTAGGCGGGAAAGATCTTAGGTGGTCAGGAATATTTATATGAACACAAATATTGATATAGGAATCTAATAAAAGGTATTTTAAATATCTTTTGACTGAAAAAGTATTTATTATTATAAAGGGTTGGACTTGATCTGAGAATGGGGGGGGGGGGGGGTAAAAATAAAAATTTATATAAATAGTATTTATAAAATTTTTTGATTATATTAATTTTATCAGCCTAAATGGATATCTTAAGAGGTAATGAATATTATTATACACGCAAAACATAAACAAAGGTATTAAATAAATGTTAATATTAGACTTCAATATTAAATATCAATATAAGCAGGGGTTAAATATAGTCATTGCTTTTTAAAAACTCATTGTAGCCTAATGATAAAATTATTTGCTAGCAACTTCATCTAATTTGTAAATCTCAAAATTTCAGCTATATTTGAAACCATTTATAAGCAAATTATCTCTATTATTATATTTTTTTCAAGCCATATAATCAACACATATTTTATTGAATTTGATAATTAAAATTTAAATTATAACTAGTAGAAAGCCCGTCAAAAATAATGGGGAATGAGATTTTTATTTATTTTTTTAAGATAGATGTCGTGCCAGATCTCTCACAATATTAGGAAGCATATAATTATCAAAGTTTATCCAGCCCAGCTCAACTCTTAATAATTTGTTAAAGATATTCATATGTCAGGTACAAGCTAATATAATTTTGAGGTTCCAAGCCCAGTCGTATCCAATAAAATTTTGAAAATTTTTTCCCACCTCGGAGATAGTTAAATTTTTAATTGATTTATCATCACATGAAGGGGAATTATCTGATTTACCAATTAGTTTAAGATGTAAAAAAAACATGTGAATTCCATATTAAGGGAAACTGGGAAGGCATGCGCAAACCACTTATTAGAGAATCATGACAAATAAAATAAAAATAACCGACTCTTATACTTTTTGGTAATATGATCAATAAATTATAATTATATATAAAAAATAAATTTTTGTTTATTATATAGGGTTATGGTAGCTTTTCGGATGAATTTAATGTATGTCTTGCATTTCCCTCCCAAATTATTTGTCTATATTTTATTTTAAGTAAAAAAAAAATGCTATTTATTTAAATAACAAAAATGCCATTAACCACTAATGAAACTTATATGCAAATTATATATATATATATTTTTTTTAAGAAAATATTTTTTATTGACATATAAATTTAGGCTAATTTTTTTAAAAAATAATGAGGAATAAATATTATGTTGTGTATTATATAAAATTAAGAGCAAATCCTTGTTGACATCTTTATTTTTGATGGAAAAAGAGACAAAATAAATCTGGAAGGTAGTCTGGAAAGGAAATAATTAATGTACAATTTCCTATCATTTAGGGTTGTAGATGAAAGTAATGACGGATTACCAAAGCAGTGTACAAAACACAATACTTCCTGATGAAGATGAGTCATATGCCTATGCCTAAATAAATATATATATATAAGGCTTACTTTATTTTGCGTTGTTAATAGATTTTGTAGGGCCTCGCTATCCCTGGAGCGTTTCTTTTTTTGATTGACCTGACATCTTTTTCTTTTATTAATGACGGATAAATCACCACCTGTACAATCATTAACTGAGGTTAGGACATGGCTTGTTATCTAAAATAAAAACAAAAGAATAATTAAAAAACATATTAATGTATTAAACCTGAAGAGGAGTCAATATTAGGTTAACCTCTCGAGAAATAGTGGGAATATCATCCATCAGAAGCTAAAATAGATGTATTCTAAAATGAAAAGTATAAGCATTTTTAGTATATATAGATGTATAACTTTATTATGCATTTGGTAGATTTTATTGTTCACGTCATATGAACCAGAATAAATTTTTTGCTTGAATATGAGTTGAATTAAGAATTGAATGATATTTATTTTTTGATAAACCCAACTTTCGGCTGGAGTGTGTAGCCTGAGGTAGGGAAATAAGAGAAAATTAAATGGAAAGTAAATAGGTAAATTAAAAGGGAAAGGAAGGTAAAGATAAAGAAAATTAAAAAGTGAAGATAGGAAAGGGAAATGATAAGAACGGGGAAGATAATA